GTGTATTGAGCATCGATGAAGCTCTTAAAAGGGAGGACTCACTTGTTTTTATTGCAGCCTTGTATAATGCTGATATTGCAGTCATGAGGATCTTTAACACGGTCATCTTCTATAACTTTCGAAGTCGCATTTTCAACGTGGTGAAGCTTGATTATTTCATCCAATCCAATGAGATTTTGCCCTTTTGGTCAGATTCGGAGTCAGTTAATTTGAAGGGAGGATAAGTTTGCATACATTATATGTTGGTGGTAAATATTTTCTGTTTTTTATTTCTTTTTTTTAATGTAATTTTCCTTTTATTGGGCATGTTGATTCGTTGGTAATTTGTCTTATAGAGCTGATATATAATGAGACATAGGGACTTCAGTTTACTTTTTGTGTAATTTGATAAAAACCTTATTAAATCAATATAACTTTTTTCCTATTAAATTAATAGAATTGATCTGAGTTAATAAATATCTTTAATTTTAATAGAATTGATTCATTTCTTTCTTCTTTATTATAAAATTTATTTCTTATATAATTACTAACTTATTTTATAATGTAACGTATGGTTTTAGTTATTTTTAATTTTTAGTATAATTGATTATATAGTGTAGTATTGTTGATGATAGTTTGGGGAGATATGGAGCTCCAAGCGAGCACAATGGATTCTACAAGGATGAGATTGAGAGAGATGAGATTGAGAGAGAGAAGGCAGATTGACTTAATACCTTATGATAACTCGAGTCTCAGTAGACCATCATTCATGATTGTGGCGGGTGCATGTTCAATCCTCCTAATGATATAATATTTAATCATATTTATATTACTTTCATTTGGGTAAGGACCATTGGCCATGAGAGGTAGCTCCCTCTTTATCCAATGGTTATTCTACCTAACTCCTAATAGATTGCAGCCCGAGGAACGTCGTTGCCCTTTTTGAGGTGGTGATGATGACTAACATTAAATGCGACCTCGACATGAGGCGATTCCTTGGAACTCAGCCACTTAACCACTGATTCTCAGACTCCGCGATAGAGGAAAAAGAGAAATTACTTGGGACTTGTCGATTTTCTTTGGTCCCGAGCTTCCGCATTTCCTACACACCTCAAGCTCCTCTACAGGGGGAGCTCGAGAAAGAATATTTGGTGAGACCCATTCGACTGGAGAGGGGTATACCTCCATAGGAGAGTGAAGGTGGCGACCCCTTCCTCATACAGCTAGTGTTTACAATTTTAGGCCTAGAGCTTGAGACCACTAGTCCTTTCAAAGAAATGTCAAGCAGGTCCTGACATGGTCCAATTAGCACCGACAAGGTGTATTTTCAGTAATAAATAATGCCACATGGAGCATGCCGTGGCACAATCATCTACAAATATTATATTTTATTTATGAATTTAACCCTATTATTATTTGTGTTAAAGGGTATTTTGGTCATTTTTTGTTGCAAGGATTGCTTCAAGGTATTAAGGTTATTACAAAGAGAGTGGTGATAGAAAACCCGAAACAAACACCCGATTGAGTTACCGAATGTGACTTGGCTTATCCACGTTGGAGTAGTAAAATAAATATTACTTTACGCGATAGAACTGAAAAAAAAGAAAAAAAAAAAAAGAAAAAAAAAAAAAAGAAGTTTATTGGAAAGAATATACGGAGAGAAACAGGGAATCAAAGTGCCTACGATCTAACTCTCAAATTGATTATTTTCAGGCCTCATCTTACACATATATATAGTATGTATAAGTATAAAGCTCTTGACCCAATTTCTGTATTTTTTGTGAACACAATGTCTTACAAGAGATTGACTATTTCAGGTTTTATACTTTTATCTGTTATATACATATGTGCGTTTTGTGTGTGAAATTTATCTGACTCAAGAAGAACAAGAGACCCTTTACACTTCAAGATCCAAAAACCCATTCGAAGGACGAGTCCAAGAAGATCAAGAAATCCTTTCGATCCTGGTGATGGGGTTGCCGTGCTCACGCAGACCAATGTCCAGTCCGATGTATATTACTAAAAGTCGGAGTGGGTCAGCCAAGCCCTACCAGACCACCAACCGGCCGTCATCGGAGTCGCTTAGTGGAGTCCAATCGCCGACGTGGATGTGGCAGGTGGAGTTACTGTACATGAGTCGTCTATGGATTTGACCTAGTTTTTCCTGAATTTTATTCTCTCGCGTAGAGAGGACGACGTTGAAAGATGCTGACGTGGCTAAGCCACGTCAAGTTTTCGGTGCTCATTCGGTGCCAAGTTTTCGGTTCCTATATCATTATTCTTACAAAGATTTACCGGTAATTTTATTGGGAAACTAATGGAATGGAGGCTCGATGATGACTTTAATTGTACATAGGCTAATATGAAAGTATAGGAAGGTTTTATGAATTCAAGGAACTTTTTACTTGAGAATGGAGTAGGTATTCAATTTGGTGTGACGGGCACATTGTATACATTATATATCTTCTCTGAAGACGGAGATTTTGTAGTTTGAAATTGGTTGGGTTTAATTCCTCATGGCTTGGGATTTGTTGATCAACCAGGATGTATTTAGATAAAAAGGAACCACCCTTGAAGAGAGAATGGTTTTGTGGAAAAAATAAGGGAGATTAGTGAGTTTATATGTGACCGCTAAATTTAATGGGCACGGTAAAAAATTTACCCATAGTTAAGCAAAAGATCAAAACTCATCGCCATAGGTCATTATTTATCAAACTTAGCTTGGTGGGTTTAGAGCCCGGACTAAAATGGTTTGTGTTCTTTTATTTAAAGCCTTTTTTTTTTTTGGGAAGGTATTTAGGTTGTTATTGCCAAAAAGGATATTAAATATAGATAAATAAACACAGTATTAATATATCCATGGTATGATTTATAAGGTAGAACATGAACTCACCATTTTGGTTAACTGCGATCCTATGTATAAAATTTTCCAAATCCAAATAATGTATAAAATTCATTATTTGTGAGCCTCTAATTTCTATAATGTGAAACTATTAACTTACCAAATTTCAAATATGTTTTATAATTTACAAGATTGTTGGATGCACTTACTCAAAATGTGTTTTCTAATTGATAGAACTATTATTTATCGTGTTTGATCTCTTGTTTTTCTGGTTCACTAATAATAATAATTATAATTTTAATAATGAATGTGTTATTTTAGACAGTTAAGATGTATTACAATCTATGGTTAAAATTTGTCTTATAAAAAATTTCATTTTAACTATCTAAATACTTTTATTTCTGCAAAATTCTATACTCATTCCAAAATATTCTTTAATTTAAATAAATAAATACGTAAATACACAACACTGTCAAGGACGATTTAGTCGTCTAAAACAACTTTTCACACTTTCTTGAAGCAATAAATTAAGTATTTAATAGTTTTGACTTATAGATGGTAGAACCAACTAGGCAACTACCCCATCTAACAAATCAACAATTTCCAAACTATTGTCATTGGCAGTTCCCACTTTGTCCTATTATATGCCTCATTAGTGGTTTTATAAACACTAATTAATGTTTTCGATTCTATATATATATATATATACATATATTAGTATATTTTTTACCATGGTAACTCGGACGTGTGTGAAAGCTTTTAATAAGTCAAGCATTCTCAATTATGTTGTTAGCTGCCGATCAGTGATTCATGGATCTGTTCCTATGACTTTGCTATAAATTCAAGATAAGGCTGCCAAATTCGTACATTATTTTTTAGTAAGCCTCGTTGATCACATTAGTCAACTCAAAAGTCTTTTTCCTCTTTGTTTGCCTTGTAAATTTTTCTTATTATTTATTTATTTTTAAGTAAATCCCACACATACACATACTAATTGTTATTTTAAGTAAATCCCACACAATACTTCATACTTTTCATTTGAAGAAGGAGAAGATACTACTTGAATACAAGATATTAAAAAAAAAGAGAACACATTCTTAATATTATGTTTGTGAATTTAGGATGAGAGGAAAAAGAAATTAATAATATAAAATTTGAACTAAACTTCCTCCGATCTTAATTTTAAAGTACTGAATATAAATAAGAGTCGGAAGAATATAATTAATTGATAAAAATAAAAAGATTAGAAACTAAATTCAATTGTGGTATTAAATATAATTAGCAAAGAAAAAAAGAGGTGCTGTTCTAAATCTTTAAAACAACCTAAATATTTAGGTGGAATGTTCTTAATTCATATGATCTATGTTTTAAAGACGGCTATAAATGTGCTATGTAAAACATGAAACTTTGAGTTCTATAAAAATGGCTATACACATGCATTGATGTCAATGTGGGTCCGTTTGTTTGTTTTTTTTTTTTTTAAATAAAGAAAAGAAAAGCAGGGCAGCCTAGATTGAAAACTTTTTTGTGTCCACTTTTGAACCCCGCCACATTCTTAATTTTATTATGGTTACATGGATGCATGTGCACATTGAATGAAACTTTTAATGTAAAATTAAAAGTTTAAATAAAAAATAATCAGTCAATCATTCTATAATGCTTACCTGCTCCTCTGACTAGATGATCATCCAGCTCATCAAAGCACAAGTTGCAAAACCCTTTTAACCATCCTTTCTTGTCTTTGCACTGGTAGGTAGTATATTTTCACGGACTTGAACCTTTTCAAGCTTTTGTGCGGGTGTGACAATATGCAATGTTATATTACGTACTAATTTTACGATATGTATATGTAGTGTGTGTTTGTGCGTGTATTAGTAAATGTTTATTTATAAAATGGTGACAGAAACTTTTTAACGAAATAATATAAAAAAATAATGAACAGTAGGGGGAGGACGATTGTATATGTAGTGTGTGTTTGTGTGTGTTTATTTATAAACCGGTGACAGAAACTTTTTAACGAAATAATATAAAAAATTAATGAACAGTAGGGGGAGGATGATTAAAAATAAATTATAGCTACAATTATTTGTCATCTATTTGGTCAAAAGGTCAAGTTTTAGGATATCATTTGCAAATATGATGATGACAGGTTGCAGAAGAAAGATCTAGGTGGAGCCTAGATTAGGGGTAACCGGTGGAACTTGATACTTCAAAAACCAGTACTCTCTCTCCCCCAAAACTCAGTAAACCTTCAAACGACGGCGGAGAGGCAACTACTATTCATTTTCATCACCAAACTGCTCCGTTTTCGTCCTTTTTCATTTTATTTTTTTGTATGCCTATTTAAATTCCCTGTTATACATAGATTCACACACAAAAAAAAAAAAAAATTCCGAAATTTAGAACCTCTCTCTCTCTCACTATCAGCTGACAATTCTTGGGTTCTAATCGCCATACCTCTCAGATACTTTCCCTCCCTCTATCTGCTGACAAATCTGGGGTTTTAGGCACCATACCTCTCAGGTACTTTCCCAGTTTCCTTCTCTCTCTAGCAGACTTTCTCAACCATTTACTTAATTTTTGTCTTGTTTTCCCGATAAATTTTGTAGGTTGTAAGATTTCCAATTACTGTCAACTATTTGGCTTTCTCATAGACTACCCTTTTTCTTTTTCCTGTAAATCCATAGTAGTGGTCCCTTTTTGCTGCTAGAAATCAAAGATTCAATTTTTTGTTCTCCAAATGCTCCTTATTTTGAGCGAGTGAATTGATTTAAAAATTAGGCTTTCGATTGGATGTTAATAGTCTCTTATGGAGCGTGGAAAAGACGTGGAAAAGAAGGTAGAAACCAAAGATTTTGTAGTTGTGATTTCGAGTACCGAAGAAGCTTCCCATGTGGGCAAGCAAAGCAAAGATTCTATAGCTTTCACAAAAACTCAAACTGGGTCGTTGTCTTCACCATTGAATGTCCGAACGCAGTCTCCAAATGCCCAGTTAACGGAACTTGACAGCCTCAAATCCAGAGTCCAAATGTCCACAATTACAGGCTCTTCTTCTCCCGAGATAACCAAGTTAAGTCCAACTCCAACCATGACCAAACCTTCCAAAACCCCAGATGAACCCGTTGCTCGAAGACGGTCTATTGGAAGGTCTGCTTACTCCAAACCTAAATCAAGATTATTGGAGCCATCATATCCTAAGAATTCGGCTGTGGTTGAAGAGAAAAGTCAATTGCTGAATTCGAGCTCACCTTATAGGAATTCACCTAACAGCAAAGCCAATGCTACTACTCCTAAAGAATACGTGAGAACGGCTCCTATTACCCCCAAAACTCCATTAATGGCCTCACCAGGAGGAGAGGAGGAAGATGATGATGAGGTATATACTACTGCAAATTCTCAAGAAGGTGAAAAACAAGGTAAGAAGTTAAAGTCCATAGCTTATCTTGAGTGGATTGTATTCGTGGGCACACTGGCTGTTTTAATTTCTAGCTTAACCAAATTGCATAACGATAGGATCTGGGGGTTGGAAATTTGGAAATGGTCTGTCTTGGCACTGGTAATCTTTTGTGGACGATTGGTCACCGAGTGGTTCACTAATATTCTAGTTTTCTTGATTGAGAGGAACTTTTTGCTTAAAAAGAAGGTTCTTTATTTTGTTTATAGTTTGAAAAAGAGTGTCAGGGTTGTAATTTGGTTGGGTTTGATTCTTCTGGCTTGGGCTCTGTTGATCAACCGGGGTGTCGAGCGATCAAAAAAAACCACCCGGATTTTAAATTATATCACGAGGGGTCTTGTGTCAAGTCTAATTGGGGCTGCTATGTGGATGCTGAAGACTCTTCTGGTAAAGATATTGGCTTCTTCATTTCACGTCAAGAGGTTCTTTGATAGGATTCAAGAATCTATCTTTCATCAGTATGTTCTTCAGACCCTTTCAGGGTTTCCGGAATTCACAGAGGGAGTTGGCAGATCGAGGAGTGGTCGATTGAGTTTCAAGAACATGAAGAAAGGTAAACAAGGTGAGAAAGAAGATGTGATTAATGTAGATAAGCTTCATAAGATGAAGCAAGAGAAGATTTCTGCTTGGACCATGAGAGGGTTAACGGAAGTGATTGGAAGTTCAGGGCTTTTTACTCTTTCCAATGCACTTGACCAGAGTGTTGATGATGAAGATGTTGAAAATAAGGAGATTACTAGTGAATTGGAAGCAAAGATCGCTTCTAATCGGATATTTAAAAACGTAGCGAAGCCCGGCAACAAGTAAGACTATTTTCCTTTAAATGTTTCCATGTTTCATTACATTTGGTAATTGTTCAGGGATTTTATCATGCTTTTTGTTGTTCTATGGGCCAGGTATATTGATGAGGAGGACCTCTTGCGCTTCATGAAAAAAGAGGAGGTGGATAATGTGCTTCCTTTGTTTGAGGGAGCAGCAGAAACAGGAAAGATTAAGAAATCAGCTTTAAAGCATTGGGTGGTAAGATCTCTGTTTATTCAAAAAAAAAATTTGGAAGTTAAAGCAACTGACATATATGGGATGGGGACTCGAACCTGGGCCTTTGGCCACAAGCACCAACACCCTACCACTGTTTATTCATATTCTGCGTATAGGTTCCTTCGACAAGATGTTCTTGTATCTGATTTCGTAAATTTCTATATTAATCTGTGTACACTAGCCAAATATTTAGTAAAAACTAGTACTTCTATTTTGATTTGTTTGTCACGATCAGAATGCAGGCTGCTAACCCCATATCATTACCATAATACAAATTACTGTATTAACACAAGCTAGTTTTTAGGTCATTTCTTGGACTTTGAGTTGTACTATTCTTAAGAAAGTTTTAGGTCATACAAACTATCTCTTAGAAATAGTTTAGGTTTTGATTGTTACATGCCATGAGCACTTTTTAATGTTTTTCTTGGCATCTTCGGGTAAGATCAATGGTAAGAATTTGCTCTTAGCAATACTGTAAAATGTGATAAAGGAGTTTAAAGCTTGTTAGAAAACTCCATCTGGTGTATCCACTTCAAATTAATGGATAGAAGTCTTAGTTAGATGGGAGAAAATTTATATCTTAACTGTGATAAATTTGTCCTCGGTTACAGGTTAGTGTCTACAATGAACGGAAATCACTGGCACATTCTTTAAGTGACACCAAAACAGCTATAGAAGAGCTGAACAAGGTTTTTTCTGGGATTGTACTTGTCGTGATCATTATCGTGTGGTACCTTTTGATGGGATTTGCAACAACCCAAGTGCTTGTCTTCATTTCGTCTCAGCTTTTACTTGTGGTGTTTGTGTTTGGCAACGCGGCTAAGACTTTATTTGAAGCCATCATATTTGTATTTGTGATGCACCCATTTGATGTGGGTGATCGTTGTGTTATTGATGGTGTACAGGTAACTCATTGGGCTTGCAATATGTATAATTTCATAATCTGGGTTACTTCTGTTAACTTTTGTCCCGACTCTCCTGATATATGTTGAAAATTTGCAGATGGTTGTTGAAGAGATGAACATTTTGACAACAATCTTCCTGAGATATGACAATGAAAAGATATACTATCCAAATTCAGTTCTGGCTACAAAGCCGATCAGCAATTTTTACCGAAGCCCAGAGATGAGCGATTCTGTGGAGTTCAGTGTTGATTTTTCCACTTCCGCTGAGAGTATAGTTGCTCTAAAAGCTAAAATTAAAGTGTATGTCAACCATATTCTTCCGTGCCTCGTATTATATATATATATATATATATATATATATATATATATATATATATATGTTCTTATATTGGTTTTACGATAATGATTAACTAAATGTAGTGTCTGAATTGATTCAATATAATCATAGTTATAGGCTGTCTTAGCTGAAAGGGCCAATTTGTTAGGAAGCAAGTGACATAATCATGATTATCTCATCCACATATATTGTTAGCATGTTATGCTAAAAGGTTCAAATCTTTATTTGCAGTATTAAGTACCGAGATTCTTGCTAGTTTTTATCAGCTTATATAACCATGGAGATCGTGTGTTTAAATTTTGTTAAAATAGAAAGTGGCTTTGTTGAACACTGTTTTGAAGCTAGCTACTGTGCTTAAGATTTAAAACTATACCGTTACTGCTTTGCATAGGAAATGTAAAATGGAAGGTTGATGTCTTAGAGACAGATATCTTTCCTACCATGTGTTCTGAGAACTTTTTCATGTGATTGCAGAATAGATATTCCAGCTATTCTGAACACTTAAATTTCATTACCTGATAAGGTCTTCTCAGGTCCTTATCTAATTCCAATGCGGCAATGCTCGATAGAACTTCTCTTTGGATCTAGTTTGATCAAATATTCCAACTTCATTCTCGTCTCTGTTGTGGTTTCCTTTATTCTTATGCCTCCATGTGTTAACAAGTAGCATCATTGTGTATCCACAAGCTGAGCTAGATATCATTTCTTTGTCATATGTTTGTTTCATTTCTTTTCTAATTTTTGTATGTTTCTAATTTCCTATATTTTATAATCATTGACATCTTCCCTGAATAATTAATTCTTGAGAACACACAATGCTTAAAACCCAAATGCAAAATCACAATCGAAGTAGCTTACAAGAATTGCATCTTGCTGTTTTCATAACTCAGAACTTGAAGTGTTGTTCAAAGTTCATCCCACATATATGTTGTGCCAAAATTTTCATATCCGAACATGCTTCATAAAGTTTTTATTATTATTATTATTATATTTGTACATAATTGCATTCCTGTCGTGTAGTGCTATGTTTGCAACGACAACATGCAGTAGCATCCTTCTTTTAGGTAGTTCTTTTACTGACAGCTCTTACTAAACTTAGCTCTGGTTCCCAAATTACTTGTCCTAGGTTGGAAGCCTGCCCAATTCAGGACTTGACATATGTGTCTGGCTCTGATTGACGTAATGCATAACCCTACTTACATGTTTATAGACGATAAATTTTTAGGTGGTCCAGGACTACATGGGCTTGGCCAATCAGAACATGCCCGGAAGCTATGAAAGTTCACAAGGGAACGATAAACAACTTTGAATCCACAAAGTTAAGAGAAAATTTGCCAAGAAAATATGATATTGTATTGATAATTGAATGTGTGATTCTGCTCTCTAGTACATATATTTATAATGAAAAGAAAACCCTATTTCATAAGGAAACTAACAGTATCATAAGAGCTTATAATGGAAACTAACACTAAAAGTAAGCCTAAAAATCAACTTTCTCCAATAATTACGAAAAAATATAATAAAAAACCTAATCAATAAAAATTACTGGCTATAAAAATTGAGAACAATCTGACTTGATTTAGACCACGAACAAAAATTCGGAAATATTGAACAGGCCTTCTATAAGATAAAAAAACAGCGTACATCATGGCGTAGCTGTGGGTATTGCTAGTTGGCCCGTTTCCACTCGAAAAACTGTCCTTTCGGGTCAAAAACGAACTCTTCGGAGCTGCCTTGAAAATGTGTCCGCATGCCCGTTTGGCCCTTTGGCAGTCCAAATGGGCCATAGAGGCTTTGACAATCAGTTCTACATCAGTCCTGGACCACCTAATAATTTCTCGTTATAGAAAAAATATATTTCCCGATTTTGTAAGTTTTAGTGTGGTCGCATCAGTTTGTTTTTTTTTTTTTTAACTTAATTGGTACTCACACACACATGCCTCCACCGAGGCTCGAACTCCTGACCTCCTTTTGGGAAGTAAGAACCACTGGCTGTTGGTCGGTTGCATCAGTTTCAAAGTTAAGAAATTGTGATTATTTTCTTGCTAGATTATATAGATATCCACAAGAAATCAATGCATAATTTAAGTTGGCTCCAATTGTTGGAGTTAAGCGGTCAATGTATAATTAAATTTGGCTTCTCTCCTCTCTCACATTGCTGCAAAAGAAATTGTGGGTTAACTCATCTATATTTAGAATTCTTGATCGAAATTTATTAGATAATCTAAAATTTTAAATTAGTCTGGTGCAGCTTATCTGTCTCTTCCTAAGACATGATTCCATTTGTTCATTTTCATTTTTCAGGAAAGATGATTTGACTGCAGGAATATTTATTTGGTATGAAATCAGATAAATCAGAATTGTTTTCTTTTCAATAGATGAAACTGGAACATTTTTTTTCTTTTCTTTTCATTAATTGGTACTCACATACACACATGTCTCCACCAAAGCTCGAACCCCTAACCTCCATTTGGGAGGTAGGAGCCTGATACCACTAGGCCACTGGCCTGTTGGTTGAATTTGGAATATTACATCACTAGAAAGGGCGTAAATAAGCAGGCAACTTGTAATATATTTGATGAATTCTTTACTTTTCAAACAGTACTTTTTTCTTGGTAATTTTGATATTCTTTCCCAGTTTTAATACTAAAATATAATAATTTGGCATTAGCACCAGTGTACTGATTTTTTTTTGTTTTCTTCTTGATTCTGTTTCCCAAAATAGATATTTTCTTGAATAACAGGTATGTTGGTATTTTCAGGTACATAGAAAGCAAACCCCAACACTGGCGCCCTGGCCACAGTGTGCAGATTAAGGACATTGAAGATGTGAACAAGATGAAAATGGGCCTTTATGTTACGCATACCATAAACTTTCAGAATTATGGGGATAAGAGTAATCGAAGATCTGATCTAGTCTTTGAGCTAAAGAAAATCTTCGAAGAGCTTGGTATTCAATATCATCTTCTCCCGCAAGAAATTCATCTTAGTCATAATGGTTCTGTGCCCTCAACGGCTGCAACTGTTCCGCGGTGATCAATTTTCTAGTGAGAGATTGTTTCCATTTTATGACAAGTTTGTGCCCTTACCCTGCTTGAATTTGCATGATTGCTCGATTTCCACGTACATAACCATCACATTAATATGTCTCACCCTCTCTGGAAATTCTTTTCTAGTATACTTGTGGCATGGGGACACCTGGTTGTTTTTGTGAATGGTGAATTTGTTCATCACACATGATTCCAGAGTCTTGAAAAACCTAAAATCCAACACCATACTAGGACCTTACAGGGTTGCTTCATGGTCATATAGAAATTTTCTGTTATTAAAAAGTTAGGGGTGTTTCATATATTTAAACAGCTTTGTTTGTTTATTTTTTTTCGTAGTAGGAATAAAGTAATAAACTGATAAGCTGTTACTTCAGGATTGAAGATGGTTTTGGATTTTTTTTGCATTGGATTTGGGATTGGAGAAAATTCCTATGTTTGGCGGCACCAAATTGGTTCCTTGGATTTGGGATTGGAGAAAATTTAGTAGAAAATTTAAACTAAATTTCCTTTAATCCCAAATTCAAGGCACCGATTTAGCCCTCCCAGACATGACATATATGTTAACGAAACATGACGTGACAAGGAAGCTTCCGAGCTCAGAAGTATGTTTGAGCTTGGAAAAATGTGTAATTCCACGATGATGCGGTCCAAATATTTGAGTGTTGCAGTTTTACAAGCCTAACCTTTTCTGTTTATTTAAAAAAATGTATCAAACCAATTGTATCATAAACATATTACAGAGATGTAATTTACAATTCATCAGTTTGATTCGAGATGTAATATGTTTGTTTTTCAATGAAGATATGGTTTCTTTTTCTCTTTTAAAGGCATTCAGATTTTGGGATCAACAGGTTAAAGAGCTATGAATTTGCTACGGGCTTGAACCAAGTTTGGACTACAAAATTTTGCTTCATTAAATAATATTTTACTTCAGTCAGATATTCGCGATGGATTGTTATAATGTAATAATGTTTTCATAGGCCCATACCAAAGAAGGCTAGGCCCATATTTAAGATGTGTTTAAATCAGACCATTGCAAGTCCAAAACTGAGAATATGAGAGATATTAGGAGGATGAGCCGCCGATTGTAGCCCAGTGAAAGCCCTGAAAGTCAATTTATTAAAACAATAATTATAACATCAATTTATGATTATGAATAAAATTTGCGTTAAGAGAGATGGGAAGGTCGAAGTCCAAAACTTGCCTTAAAGAAGAGAGAGAAAAAAAAAATATTAAAACAATAATTATAACATCATCCTATTGAGCTTGACTTCTACTAAATAAAAAGTTTTCTTACTATGTCTTTCGAAATTTGTATCACAAAATAATTTCCATTAAAATAATTTCTTGCCCACCAAGTTTCTAATCTTGTTTTTCACTCCTTTTTGTCATTAGTAACAAGTTTCCAAATCTCACTGCCAGTAGAATTACAAGTAACAATCCATCGGACGGCTTCTATTTAATCTTTCAATCACACGCTCCATATATTACACGTATCCTATTCTTACTCTAATATGGAAACTAAATTAATCCTAGTAAAGAACTGACTTTGAACTAAAAACACTCCCAAGTCCCAACTCTATATGCATCTTTTATGTCACAAAATCAAAATAACTTTGTGCGTGAGCAGAGAACAGGTATTGTTAGCTTCAATGGAGTATTCCTCTGATATGTTGGATCGATGCAAGTCTGTGTGTAAGGCATGGAACAACCTCACATACGAGTCTAGTTTCATGCCTCTTCACTGCAAGAGAACGGACACTGTTTCGGGTTACTTCATTCAGGAAGAGTCGTTCAAAAATCACCGGACAACGTTTGTATCCATCAACCACTCTGATCAATCTACCTCCAAATTGTCACTTGACTTTTTACCAAAAAAAGTGAATATCTTGGCTTCGTCCAACCAAGGTATTTTGTGTTGTGTGAATGGGTATGGCGAACGTAGCAAGTATTATGTTTGCAAGCCAAGTACGAGACAATTTGAGCTTCTGCCGAACCCGAACACCGAATTGAAACCGGATATATTTGCCTTTGTGGTTCTACAATCAAACCCGTTGCGGTGCAAAATTGTTCGGTTGTCATGCCCCAAACAATTGTAAGTTACATATATGTCCTATATATGTGTGTGTGTGTCTTTGATTTTCTATTAGTAAGGTGTCTTGGATCGATCGGTTCTATATTTGAACTAGTATTTTAATTAGTAGTTTGAAAAATAAAAGACAAATTGGTAACTGTTCTTTCATGCATGTATATTATCAGGGGCGGAGTCAGAAATTTGATTCAAGAGGGGTATGTTAACACTGACAAAATAATTTTTTTTCAAGCAGGCCGAAAATATGGTAGTGTAACAACAGTACATTAGAATAAGTGAATAAAAAATGAATAAGAAGATAAAAAAGAAAAAGAAAGGTTATTGCACATAAATTATGCATGAGTGCAAGAAAAAATAAATTTTTAAGAAGAAAAATGAATTTTTTAAGAAGAAAATGAAACAAAAAGAAAAAAATATAAGAGAATTTTGAAGGAAAAAATAGATTTTAATTGTAAAAAGAGAATGTAAAAGTTTTTGAAGATGAGAAAAAGAAATTTGAAGAATAAGAAGAAAAAAAAAAAGGAATAAAGAATTAAAGACGTTTTTAGAAATACATAATTATATGGGGATAATTTATAAATTTTATGAGAGTGTTTTATAAATATTTACAAATTATATGCATAAAATAAAATAAAATATAGTAGATTCAGGGACAAATGGATAATTTTAATAATTTCAGGGGACATTTTATCAATTTTTACAAATATATGTATAAAATATATATATATATATATAGTGGGGCAGCATGGGCCGGGGGGGGGGGGGGAGCTGCCCGCTGGGCACATGCTGCCTCCGCCACTGTACATTATAACATGTTATACTGTATAAAATAGTATTCAGCACCATAATGAAATTGATTACTTATATATATATATACTTATATAATACACACAAACAGAGGCGAATGAATTCATAATTGTTAAAGTAGTACTCCTGAATGTGGTTTTGGAATTCTAACCTTGCTTTTATTAATGTGTTTATGTGTCTATTAGTTCAAAATACTACTACAAGTATGGATGTGAAGTCTTCGATTCACAAACTTGGCGATGGAAGGAATTACAAGACATAAGGTTGCCTAATGGCGTTCTGATCATGACACGAGAAAGCCCTGTGGTCTTACGCGGTGCCATTCACTGGCGCACCACCAACAATTCTGTTTTGAAATTCTTTATAAACGAAGAGATATACACTACATTTTCGTTACCAAAGCCGATATGTGATGATGATGATGATTGTTTATACCGACACAAGAAGCTTGTTGAATACAAAGGACAGCTCGGTTTTATCTGCGAGTTTCCACCAAATGCTGAGTTGGGACTGTGGGTTTTGAAGAATGGCGAGAAGAAGAAAGTGTGGGAGTGCGGCCTTGTATTGAACATGGATGATGGGGCTCTTAAAAGGGAAGAGCCCCTTGCTTCTATGCTCGCCTTATACAATGCTTATATTGTGGTGATGCAAGGTTTTTACAGTACCATCTTCTATAATATTCTCAGTCGCAGCTTCGATGTGGTCAAGCTCGATTTTCTAGTCCAACCCAGTCAGATTTTTCCCTTTCGGTCGGATTTGGAGCCAGTTAATTTGAAAGTTGTAGAATAGTTTATATTTTTATTGTAATTCGTTGGTGGTAAATGATTTCTGTATATATATATTTTTTAAATGTAATTTTTCCTTTTTGTTTGACATGTTGGGTTTTTTTTGGTGATTAATCTTTATAGGATGATGTTTAATTACTTTCTGTCTATGACTATAAAGCCTATATTGAGACTTCAGTTTTATTTTTTGGTTGTTGATACAATGGAAATATGCAAGTCTCCTTTTGTTTTGAAGTAAGAATATTTTTTTAAAAAAATATATTTTTTTATTTTTTCATTGGTGTAACATGAAAAATAACTTATCAAAAATTAATAAATAAGTTATTTTTATTATATTATTTTTTTTCGTAAATATTTTACAACAATCAAATATAAAAAAAAAAAAAAAAATACATCCAAACAAATGGAAGCTTAATTTGCTACTACTATTCATTTTGGTTGCTTGGTGGGCTTTGTATTCGGCTAACCTTGGTCTTCGGGCTCTGGGCTTTGCTTTCTTTTGGGCCTTGGCCACTCTGTAATTAATTACTCTCTCTTTTTATATATTTTAACAATAAAATCAGAAGATAAGGGACTATATCAAAATCTATCTAGGAAAGAAAAAGAAAACGTGCTGCTGTATAAATAAATAAATATTTGAAACAACTTAAATATTTGGGTTAAGAATGTTCTTATTCTGAATATGATCTATCTATCTAAAGCATGAAACGTGCTTCCTATAAAGGTGGCTTGAAATGTGCAATTGATGTCATTGGATTGCAACTTATATATATATATATAAATAATACTATAATAATAATAAATAAATATTGATATTTGGTAGGCATGTAAATCAAGTTAATGATTACTTTTATGTTAATTTTCAAAAGATAAATAAATTATATGATTATTCATAAAAAAAATTTGACAATATTTAAAAGTTTTATCCAAAGTTTGCAAATGAAGTTTTGTAACTACTTACTTGATGGCATCTTTAGTCCTAATTCACTATTGGCAATATGGATTCAATAAAATGACATCATTATTTTTCAAAAAATTTAATTTGAAAGTAATAATGGTGTCATGGTTTTTTCTCTCTCTTCTCTCTCTTTTAAGGGAAAAAGAAAAAACAAGCCAAGGACAATAACAAATAATTACTGAACAGTATACAATAATTGTCACCTGCTCCTCTGAATGCTCCAGCTCATCAAAGCACAAGCTGCAAACCCCCTCTTTAACTTTTTTTTTTGTCTTTGCACGAGCAGATAGCATATGCAATGTGAGAATATATATATATATATATATATATATATATAAGTATTTGTTCAATGAAATAATATAAAAAATTTAATGAGAGGATTTATTTATTTATTTTGTCCCGGCAAGCCAAACGCCATAGTGTATCTACATGCAAAAACATCGATTATATACATAAAATCAGAAACACATGTAACACCACTAGTCACAGAACTAACCAAACTTAACTAACACTTCCTTATAGTCAAGATTACATACTTAACAAACCAAGTAAAAGGTGTCAGTTAGAGTGGGATTATCAGCATCACAAAATTAAGAAAGATGCACCGCCATACAGAACCTCCCAGATAGAAAGATGCACCGCCATACACAAACTTCCAAAGTACGCATATAGGGAATAACATAAGATTGAAAGGATAGAGTAACTCAAAAGTCAGCCAAACACGACTGACGTGTTTGAAAACACAGTCCCCACTGAATCCAAAGATTGGAAATGTAAAATATAGCAGTGTAGGACACGTAAAGGAAACACTGAGTTACCCTAGCCACACACAGAGCCTATCATTGTCAAACTGTACTCTGAGACCATCACGGTCCATTGGCTCACCACCTCCCAACATACAGCTTCCACTGGACTCTGAAACAATAGTGGTAGCCTTGCCGACAACCATTAGAAATGTGTCACGAATCTCAAACAATAATATATATAATACTGTATCATTAGAAATTCAGTCATAACACTTTTAAGATTTTAATAAAAAATATGTATATATGAATATTTTTAAGAGTTTTATAAAATTTATAGGTAATTTAGTAAATTAAAAAAAAAAAAATTAGCTTCCCCGCTGAACCTTTAATGGGTCCATGACCGTCAACAATTGATAGGGGTCACTTCCGTGCGAGACA